GTAGTGTTACTGATGATCGAGAGTTCAAGTTTATTTATCCCCCAGTCAAGCTACCTCATCGACCACCTAGTGTAACTGTCCACACATCGATTTTAGAATTCAGTGCTTGTGATTTCACTAACTAGCACTGCGTGGTTGTGATGTGTGCTACTGATATCAATATGAGTGTTATATAACGATAGACAGGATTCGAATGTCTGGCAGTAGAAGCTTGAGAACGGAAGAACGTCAAACATGAAACCTATGATATAAAAATTCACATAATGAAGGAAAAACATTCGGAATTTCCAGTCTTTTAAGAAAAGCTAGATCGTGCTGAAATGAACTTTCATTCACTGAATTTTCGTCCCTCTATTTCACTTAGCACATGCACCCATCACAGTTTTGAGTAAAGCATCACAATGTGTTTTGTAGGCTCCGTCCTACCACTTCTCGTGTTGAAATACAGCGCGGATACTAGTTTGTTTCAAAAATCCTCAATGTTACTGATTATCACCTAGCGTCAATGTTCACAGATTGCCTCATCAGCACTACGAACGATAAGATCATCATGACAAACATTAACACTTTTAAGATCGTTGACTTCCTTATTCATTACTTCTTGGAAGATTGTTGGAGAAGAAATAAGACCTAATGCAAGACAATTATATTTAGACAGAAAATTGTTAGTGTTAATCATTTAGGAGATCGATGGAGATTGATCCAATGGAATCTGAAGATATGCACATTTCAAGTCAATTTTTTAACACACATTGGAACCATGAAATGGATTGAAATATATTACCAGCTTCAATTGCTGATACATGTTTGCTTCAGTTAGAAGAGAAATCGATAATAATGCGTAATCACCACATATTCTAGGGATATTTCCATAACATTTCAAAAGCTTGATAATGGGAGTACTTCGTGCTGAGTACCGAAACGCCTCAATTATCGTTTTCTCACTAAATGAAGTCAGTGTTCTACACATTGTCGATCACCATACACAATTACTAGTCTTTTAAGAAAAACTAGATCACCCAGAAATGATTTTTTATAAGCTGAATTTTCTTTCCTCCATTTTAATAAGCACATGCACCCAACATAGTTTTGAGTGAAGCATCACAGTGCTTTTGTAGGCTAATGAAGACAAATCCGCCTCACAAATCCTTTTGTTGTTTTAAACTCACTAGAGATGGTCCTATTTCACTCACTGGAAAATCACAAGGGATGTGTAGAAAACCGTCATTTCTAACTGACAATTCAGAATATCCAGGTGCTAGCACTTCCTGTCTAGTAATCTCCAATGTTAAGACTTCATTAGGTCATCTTGCAACACAAGAATACAAAAAACCTAAACTTCTTGAATGAAAAGATGAAGGAATCCATACTTCTTTTATCAAAAGTGAAATCATGGAATAAACCAAATAAAGTATATTACTGCATCTGAATGAGGAAAATGCCTTCCTAAATCATGGATGGAGGTGATAAATAATTATTGAGATTTGAATTACATTGTTTATCATCACCAGTAGTGCGATGAACAATTATCCGACACACCGAATTTATGTGTCTAGTTTCGGTATAACTAAGGCATTTAGCATCACTGAATAAACGTGACAGTTGGCCACATGATGAACACTCGTCCAATCTATGCACACGTATAAATGCTGATTTGAAATATTATTCATTTGTTCTCAAAATTTTCACGAGTATGAGAACCATTATTTTCCGATGCGAGCTTCAACAACCTTGACAATCTAAGTGTGTGGCGCATATATGTATGGTTCCCCCTTTACCAAATATATATGTGGTTGAATAAATGAATAAACAATCTATTTCATCATGATGGATGAGCAGAGTGTTAGAAATTTTCAATACTCGAAAATATTGTGTTCACCGAAACTAATGTGAAAGACTTACAAAATATTTATTCTGGGATTTATTTACCGATTCAGGTTTGAAGGCTCTGCTCTGGAGCTACAATATTCTTCAATGGGCATGCAACTATGATGTTGATAGGCAATTTAGTAGACGAAACTCCACTCTTCTAGAACTGAAAATTATTTCTTACTAAATCCTGGTGTAATTCGGCGTTTATATGTACCAATGATTCCTTTGTATTGATGATTGTTTTGATTCTGAATTCCAAATACAGTTCATTCGTTCGAGATCATCTAATACTCCTTGATGAAATTGCGTTATTGTCGGGATTATTAGTTCATAATTTAATTGACATACTCTTGAATACCACATTGACTTTGCGATGGAACCCGTGTTGAGACGGTTGGATATACATTCAGATTTTAAATGCTTTGGAAAATTACATGGAAGACGTTGAGGATTTCAATATTGTGGCCATTTCCTTACATTCATTGGAAAAGAAACATACAGATTTATACGAACTTTGACATTTCCAGACAAGCCGGTTTCACTCCCTTATGCAACTCTCGAGCAACCACTACAGGACCATGTAAAGTATACAAATTTCGAATGCGGTAAAGAAGGGTAATTCGGTGAAATGACTCGCCAGAACATTGAGAGTTCAACTGCTTTACTACGTCGTCGCAGTCCAATAATTCGTGAAGATGAGCATAAGAGGTATAATGTCACATAGCAGTCCAGAGTTGAATGAAACCCAAAATCATTGTGAGGCAAATGATTCCAATCAATCAACTTCTTATCAAATGTCTCGTATTGTTGTAACTGACATAGTTTGTTATAACGATTCACAAATTTTCGATGACATTTCTTACAACTCTGAGAATAAAATATTGAATGAGTGAAATCATGATCAGAAGCCGGACTCAGTTTTCGGATAACTTCATATCAACTGTTGCTTATACTTATCAAGAAGGCACTTCTAATGAAAAATCTAGTCAATATGTGAAATATGCTTGAAATGAAGCCACATTATTCATAACTTGGGAATATAAGAATCCAACATTATTTCGTACAGGAGGATAACGTTGGAAAATCTATGGTTTAAAATCTAGATATCAGTGATTTCAGTGCACCACCGACATGGTGATTGTAAACAATTCCGGGATTCACATTAGTCCGTTTTGATATCGGTTGTTAATTGTAATCCTAACAAGTACATTCTCGATAATACAAAGTCTAAATCCAATTCACTGTCAAACAGATTTAAGATGAACTTAAGACGGATATCCGTGGGATAAGGCGAGGTGTGCATTTTTGGGGTCGACCTTTTCTAACTCCTTCTCTCCTTGTGGGAAGGCAGAATTGCTGTCATGCTGGTTGTCTGAAGGAAACACCTTACTGCTGTCACACCTCTGCACAGTCAGCAGTACGACTTCGTCTTCGGACATTAGGTTTGCTGCTTTTAGTCTCACCGCTTTCCAACCGACCTGTCTGGCATGGTAGGACCTCGAGGAACGATTGTTCCAGCCAGCATAGCTCGATTGCTTCATCACGATAGGCAAGCCCGACCACCACGTCAAGGTAGCATTAGCGATCGGGGGAAATAACATTAAAGAACAACGTTCATTAATCATCAGGCTATCCACTTAAGAAAAAAATTAAACATTTCCTGGTGTTATATTGACTTGCCGTGATATATGCCATATGTAAACTACTTATCAATAACCGAACCAGCAAACATAAAACAATCTTATATTGCATGTTTGTTCTCTACATTAAATGTTGCTATTTATATCAAACTGATCATGTCTGTAAACTGGTGTGAATTCTGTAATTAATATTTTCAGAATGCATTATTATTATTATTGATACTGTTATATTAGGTGTTTTATGTTATGCTGTAATTTGTGGCAACTACGAAGTACAAATCGATTCTGCCCACAAAACATTTGGATTTTCAAATGACTATTATCTAAGGTTTATTGTAGTCACTTAATTATTCTTAGAAAAAGCTATCAAAGAGCGTGAAATATACACCTGTGATATCAACAACCGATAGATCACTTTCGTGCGGAGAGTACCTGCAACTACAATAGAGCGGGAAAGAGAAGATTGATGTTGAATAACATGAAATTATTTTGTTTTACTTAGTTCTCATCCACTGCTAAATGATTTTTGTAGAAATAAATCAAACATTCTGATATAAGTAGTTGTTTATCGGATCTTGCTTATCCTACTTCATCTGAATGAAATTCTCTCGTAATTGCAGGAATAATTATCCACTACTCATATGAATCATGCCGACCCATTAACTGAAATCCCATAGATAACGTGAGGTGTAGGAGTATTGAGCTAGTCATTATGGGTTCTTGAATGATTTATCAGAAAGCGAACTGAACTTATCCAATTATGCTAAATGTTCTACTGATGATGAATTATGCTAACGCGTTCACGATCAGTGAGAACTTGTATCGTTGTGTAATACTCAATTAATATTTAAACATTACACTAATTGTTTTTGTTACATTGAATATGTTCGAATAATTCACATCGACTGCTGTGTGTTATTTAGTCACTTACTTTTTCAAGTGTGTCTAATTGCATGTATCTGTTGGTCTTATACCTTAACAATTCAAACTATCAATTTATGAACCTCACAATTACCCAACATTCATTTTCGGTTAAAACGCTTCTAACTCAGTGATAATATCTAGATAATATGCACAGCATGTACACATATTCTAAAGTGACTGATTAATTGCAGACTCAAGCAACGACAAGAAGATTCAGATAACCAATATGTCAGTCACTATTTAGTTGGACTAGTTGTACTCAATGTAATAACTAAAACTGATTTTTATTGTATGGTGAAATTAACGAGTAAATTAATTAATGTTCGACATAATAGCCGGTCACCCATGCAGTATGTATGCTACATGTTATTCAGTGAGATGTGATTACCAGTGAACACATAAATAGAACATCAAGTGATACTGAGAAATGTAATTTATTCTACTGAGTGTAACTAAAAATCAAGCACATTAAAAATGAAATAATGAACGGCCACATTTGCTATTGTATGCAATCAATCATCTCTATAATTGTGTTGTGGTTATTCGATCTACTTCAACTGCCTTCTAGGATCGATATGATATCCGTGGTCTACAAAGTCTAAAATGTATAACAAAAGAGAAGAAATTATGTTATGTTACTAACAACCGAATATTAAATTGGTTTGAAATCACAGTAGTTTTCTAGTGATCTCATAAAAGGCGCAGATATTTCTCCACAATTGTCCTCATAAGATACTCCGTGTCAGCTGGCTGGATAGCATCAGGAACATTTTACTGTATAATAATCTATCCAATGCTCATTTTTTTTCAAAATTATCTAATCAAAACTTGACAGTGACACCTACAGAAAATAAAGCGGTTTCCATGTGAAGTGAAAATTAGGAAGATATTCTGGAGGTGGATAATAAATACATCACAGAAATCACCAAACTGCACCTTCAGGGGTGCCGTAACTCGGAATCCTGCACGGGAGCGGAAACTTGGAAGCCCAAGAAACGCAGTATCAGGAATCGAAAGGAGACATGAAAAAGAAATAGTACCTGTGTCACATATAGTTAATTATGATAAGTGGAGTGAATAACTCTCATGAGAATCAGTAGAATGATGAATAATTTTCCTGAAATGTATACATATTCATGAAGACAGATAGATAGATATATAGATAGATAGATAGATTAATAGTTTGATAAGTAGATAGATGGAAAGTGTAATCATGGACATTTTAATAATTGACATTTAAATGATCACTTTATCATATCTTCTGTGTAAATGAATTTATCACTCATTCCCATAGATTACCTATCTCATATTTAAGAACTTACACAGTGCCCTCACGATATCCAGTTTGAGTTGCTATTTCTTCCTCACTTGGTGATGCTAAAGAAATTGTTGTAGTGCAATGTCTGTTTTTCATTGTTAACATATGATTAGAATTGAGTGAAATGTTCACTCCGTCCAGTGAAACATACATTTGTCCTAAATGTAAAAAAACATTACACAATAGTTAGTGAACTGTATCACAAATCTATTCAAATAATGTGAACATAGATTTGTACCTCCTTGCATGTACATTTCACTCGCTGCACAAAGCCAACCTGATAATGGGGTTGAAACAACGAGAGTGAAATGGCAATAAAATATTTCATGAAATGAAAAACAGGATATATGGTAAGACTGAGATCAACAGACTTACTATCACAACTTCCATAACCACTAATACTATTAATAATATTACTACTTCTTATATTAATACTAATACTGCTAACACTGGCAACAATAATAAAGATAATATTATTTACTAATGAATAAGTAATACACATACCTGTCTCGTAAAACTCAATTGGTACCATAAAAGTGGCTGATTCAATCTCCATCATGCTTAATGTGCATAAAATCACTACAGTCATATGCCATTTGAACATGTGTGATATCATTCCTAGAGTTGATATTAATAATAATAGAAAGCGTCAGTCACACTATCACTTACATTCTCATGGAAATCGGAAAATATTAAATGATTTCTGTACTAAACTAAATGAATTTTATACAAGACTTGATTATGTTAATTTGATGTTCTTATTACTGAATATCGGTGTGAAACTGTTCTCTATTCCTTACAATCAAATCCATTGATATTCGCTCACTTCCAATTCGATATTATCTCATTTATATATGGAGTGATTATAATCAGTGGATTGTGTATGATGAACATCAGAATTATGTGCTGATTGAGAAGTCACATACTACAACGAAACGGCTGACCATTGCTTTCACGTTTACTATCGTGATCCAGCTTTATTTATCTCATGAATTGAACTATCAGATGAAAATTTATTGAAGAAAAATTACAGCCACCGTCAAGTTTACGTTTCATGATTAACTTGGAAGAACATTTTGTGGAGATGACAATGAACCTTGAATTCTTTTACCATTATTTTATTTCGCTTGTCAATAATACTACAATAGTACACCTCTCTGACAACCATCAATTTGTACATATTACCTATTGTGTTCAGTTCCGAGATCTATTTCATTGTGATCATTGATCCATGGATTCCCTTGATCAGTTTAATATTTTCATAAATACATAGTGTAAAGTCTGTTAAAGAACGTATTCACAACAATGATATTCGCTCATTTATGTTGTTCTAGTCTTTAATTCGACAATGAATTGTCATTCAGTAAGTAGGTTACAATATGTATTACATACATAATACAGACTTAGAGTATACTTATGCACTAAAACAATTGTGTACCTGAAATAATCTCACTGTAATCAATGTCCTAATGTCCTACGAAACTGCAAGTCAGAAGATGAGTTGATACACTCAGTTACAGATCACATTTCATTATGAAAATATTACAGAACAACTTACTGCAACTGTCGGATTATTTTTTCAGATATTACTTGGACGGACCAACTATTTATACAAATGAATTGAATAATAAGCCAATGAGAAATCATTGTATAACATTGAATGTAGGTTAACAACCATAATGTACCGACGTAACTACAGTTTTATACAAAATACCACCAGACAACTCAGTGTAACAAAGTCTATTATGTTAATAATAAGAGTTATTTGTTGATCAATACTTCGATAATCCTGATTAAAATGATTCAATGGAATTTACAAATCATTTAGGAATGTTTATTTTTCACAAAACCGATGTTCATATGTATCGATAAATATGGTTGAGTGAACTCAAATTACGTTGTTTTCTTGTTTACTTATTATTATTTTATTAGCTTTATTCAATATTATATTTTTGGTACAATATAGAATTCTCAGCACAAAGTACTTCAACAAGTTGCCGTTTCTTACTTCTTCGTCCTTCCTGACGATAAATATTGAGTGATCGCCAGTTAGAACTTAGCAACCCAGTCAATCGACATCTGCATAATGTACATTCTTCTCGCTGCATATTGCCAGCGACCACGATATCTCTGATTAGGCCTTCTGTAACCATTACAGCGAAAGGTCTTACACATTTTAGAAACGCATCTGAAATAGGTTGTGCGATTAATAGGCATAATGATGCATTAAAACAAACGAAATTAGATAACTTGTTGAAATATCTAGATGACAGGAACAGGTAGCCCAGATGTTTAAACAGGCCGCCATGTATATTAGTTGAATGTCAGTGATACTTGCATTGACTGATGTTTAGTCATGAAATTATGTGCTGTTCGAATGGTAAATGATAGATGATAAAAGAATCAGTGTTATTTCAAGTCAAACGGGTTGTAATATTTAGCTAGACGTTATCGAATCTCTAGATTTTCTGTTGATCAAGAGATTTCCCTTTTCAGTTGTACTTCACAGCAACCAAACGAGACATCAACAGTCTCAGTTAAACAAAGATATCAATAATTAATCATGATTGTTAATTGACTATTTGTGATGATTTGAAGTAGATTTGTTACCATTCGAACAGCACATAATTTCATGACTAAACATCAGTCAATGCAAGTATCACTGACATTCAACTAATATACATGGCGGCCTGTTTAAACATCTGGGCTACCTGTTCCTGTCATCTAGATATTTCAACAAGTTATCTAATTTCGTTTGTTTTAATGCATCATTATGCCTATTAATCGCACAACCTATTTCAGATGCGTTTCTAAAATGTGTAAGACCTTTCGCTGTAATGGTTACAGAAGGCCTAATCAGAGATATCGTGGTCGCTGGCAATATGCAGCGAGAAGAATGTACATTATGCAGATGTCGATTGACTGGGTTGCTAAGTTCTAACTGGCGATCACTCAATATTTATCGTCAGGAAGGACGAAGAAGTAAGAAACGGCAACTTGTTGAAGTACTTTGTGCTGAGAATTCTATATTGTACCAAAAATATAATATTGAATAAAGCTAATAAAATAATAATAAGTAAACAAGAAAACAACGTAATTTGAGTTCACTCAACCATATTTATCGATACATATGAACATCGGTTTTGTGAAAAATAAACATTCCTAAATGATTTGTAAATTCCATTGAATCATTTTAATCAGGATTATCGAAGTATTGATCAACAAATAACTCTTATTATTAACATAATAGACTTTGTTACACTGAGTTGTCTGGTGGTATTTTGTATAAAACTGTAGTTACGTCGGTACATTATGGTTGTTAACCTACATTCAATGTTATACAATGATTTCTCATTGGCTTATTATTCAATTCATTTGTATAAATAGTTGGTCCGTCCAAGTAATATCTGAAAAAATAATCCGACAGTTGCAGTAAGTTGTTCTGTAATATTTTCATAATGAAATGTGATCTGTAACTGAGTGTATCAACTCATCTTCTGACTTGCAGTTTCGTAGGACATTAGGACATTGATTACAGTGAGATTATTTCAGGTACACAATTGTTTTAGTGCATAAGTATACTCTAAGTCTGTATTATGTATGTAATACATATTGTAACCTACTTACTGAATGACAATTCATTGTCGAATTAAAGACTAGAACAACATAAATGAGCGAATATCATTGTTGTGAATACGTTCTTTAACAGACTTTACACTATGTATTTATGAAAATATTAAACTGATCAAGGGAATCCATGGATCAATGATCACAATGAAATAGATCTCGGAACTGAACACAATAGGTAATATGTACAAATTGATGGTTGTCAGAGAGGTGTACTATTGTAGTATTATTGACAAGCGAAATAAAATAATGGTAAAAGAATTCAAGGTTCATTGTCATCTCCACAAAATGTTCTTCCAAGTTAATCATGAAACGTAAACTTGACGGTGGCTGTAATTTTTCTTCAATAAATTTTCATCTGATAGTTCAATTCATGAGATAAATAAAGCTGGATCACGATAGTAAACGTGAAAGCAATGGTCAGCCGTTTCGTTGTAGTATGTGACTTCTCAATCAGCACATAATTCTGATGTTCATCATGCACAATCCACTGATTATAATCACTCCATATATAAATGAGATAATATCGAATTGGAAGTGAGCGAATATCAATGGATTTGATTGTAAGGAATAGAGAACAGTTTCACACCGATATTCAGTAATAAGAACATCAAATTAACATAATCAAGTCTTGTATAAAATTCATTTAGTTTAGTACAGAAATCATTTAATATTTTCCGATTTCCATGAGAATGTAAGTGATAGTGTGACTGACGCTTTCTATTATTATTAATATCAACTCTAGGAATGATATCACACATGTTCAAATGGCATATGACTGTAGTGATTTTATGCACATTAAGCATGATGGAGATTGAATCAGCCACTTTTATGGTACCAATTGAGTTTTACGAGACAGGTATGTGTATTACTTATTCATTAGTAAATAATATTATCTTTATTATTGTTGCCAGTGTTAGCAGTATTAGTATTAATATAAGAAGTAGTAATATTATTAATAGTATTAGTGGTTATGGAAGTTGTGATAGTAAGTCTGTTGATCTCAGTCTTACCATATATCCTGTTATTCATTTCATGAAATATTTTATTGCCATTTCACACTCGTTGTTTCAACCCCATTATCAGGTTGGCTTTGTGCAGCGAGTGAAATGTACATGCATGTAGGTACAAATCTATGTTCACATTATTTGAATAGATTTGTGATACAGTTCACTAACTATTGTGTAATGTTTTTTTACATTTAGGACAAATGTATGTTTCACTGGACGGAGTGAACATTTCACTCAATTCTAATCATATGTTAACAATGAAAAACAGACATTGCACTACAACAATTTCTTTAGCATCACCAAGTGAGGAAGAAATAGCAACTCAAACTGGATATCGTGAGGGCACTGTGTAAGTTCTTAAATATGAGATAGGTAATCTATGGGAATGAGTGATAAATTCATTTACACAGAAGATATGATAAAGTGATCATTTAAATGTCAATTATTAAAATGTCCATGATTACACTTTCCATCTATCTACTTATCAAACTATTAATCTATCTATCTATCTATATATCTATCTATCTGTCTTCATGAATATGTATACATTTCAGGAAAATTATTCATCATTCTACTGATTCTCATGAGAGTTATTCACTCCACTTATCATAATTAACTATATGTGACACAGGTACTATTTCTTTTTCATGTCTCCTTTCGATTCCTGATACTGCGTTTCTTGGGCTTCCAAGTTTCCGCTCCCGTGCAGGATTCCGAGTTACGGCACCCCTGAAGGTGCAGTTTGGTGATTTCTGTGATGTATTTATTATCCACCTCCAGAATATCTTCCTAATTTTCACTTCACATGGAAACCGCTTTATTTTCTGTAGGTGTCACTGTCAAGTTTTGATTAGATAATTTTGAAAAAAAATGAGCATTGGATAGATTATTATACAGTAAAATGTTCCTGATGCTATCCAGCCAGCTGACACGGAGTATCTTATGAGGACAATTGTGGAGAAATATCTGCGCCTTTTATGAGATCACTAGAAAACTACTGTGATTTCAAACCAATTTAATATTCGGTTGTTAGTAACATAACATAATTTCTTCTCTTTTGTTATACATTTTAGACTTTGTAGACCACGGATATCATATCGATCCTAGAAGGCAGTTGAAGTAGATCGAATAACCACAACACAATTATAGAGATGATTGATTGCATACAATAGCAAATGTGGCCGTTCATTATTTCATTTTTAATGTGCTTGATTTTTAGTTACACTCAGTAGAATAAATTACATTTCTCAGTATCACTTGATGTTCTATTTATGTGTTCACTGGTAATCACATCTCACTGAATAACATGTAGCATACATACTGCATGGGTGACCGGCTATTATGTCGAACATTAATTAATTTACTCGTTAATTTCACCATACAATAAAAATCAGTTTTAGTTATTACATTGAGTACAACTAGTCCAACTAAATAGTGACTGACATATTGGTTATCTGAATCTTCTTGTCGTTGCTTGAGTCTGCAATTAATCAGTCACTTTAGAATATGTGTACATGCTGTGCATATTATCTAGATATTATCACTGAGTTAGAAGCGTTTTAACCGAAAATGAATGTTGGGTAATTGTGAGGTTCATAAATTGATAGTTTGAATTGTTAAGGTATAAGACCAACAGATACATGCAATTAGACACACTTGAAAAAGTAAGTGACTAAATAACACACAGCAGTCGATGTGAATTATTCGAACATATTCAATGTAACAAAAACAATTAGTGTAATGTTTAAATATTAATTGAGTATTACACAACGATACAAGTTCTCACTGATCGTGAACGCGTTAGCATAATTCATCATCAGTAGAACATTTAGCATAATTGGATAAGTTCAGTTCGCTTTCTGATAAATCATTCAAGAACCCATAATGACTAGCTCAATACTCCTACACCTCACGTTATCTATGGGATTTCAGTTAATGGGTCGGCATGATTCATATGAGTAGTGGATAATTATTCCTGCAATTACGAGAGAATTTCATTCAGATGAAGTAGGATAAGCAAGATCCGATAAACAACTACTTATATCAGAATGTTTGATTTATTTCTACAAAAATCATTTAGCAGTGGATGAGAACTAAGTAAAACAAAATAATTTCATGTTATTCAACATCAATCTTCTCTTTCCCGCTCTATTGTAGTTGCAGGTACTCTCCGCACGAAAGTGATCTATCGGTTGTTGATATCACAGGTGTATATTTCACGCTCTTTGATAGCTTTTTCTAAGAATAATTAAGTGACTACAATAAACCTTAGATAATAGTCATTTGAAAATCCAAATGTTTTGTGGGCAGAATCGATTTGTACTTCGTAGTTGCCACAAATTACAGCATAACATAAAACACCTAATATAACAGTATCAATAATAATAATAATGCATTCTGAAAATATTAATTACAGAATTCACACCAGTTTACAGACATGATCAGTTTGATATAAATAGCAACATTTAATGTAGAGAACAAACATGCAATATAAGATTGTTTTATGTTTGCTGGTTCGGTTATTGATAAGTAGTTTACATATGGCATATATCACGGCAAGTCAATATAACACCAGGAAATGTTTAATTTTTTTCTTAAGTGGATAGCCTGATGATTAATGAACGTTGTTCTTTAATGTTATTTCCCCCGATCGCTAATGCTACCTTGACGTGGTGGTCGGGCTTGCCTATCGTGATGAAGCAATCGAGCTATGCTGGCTGGAACAATCGTTCCTCGAGGTCCTACCATGCCAGACAGGTCGGTTGGAGAGCGGTGAGACTAAAAGCAGCAAACCTAATGTCCGAAGATGAAGTCGTATTGCTGACTGTGCAGAGGTGTGACAGCAGTAAGGTGTTTCCTTCAGACAACCAGCATGACAGCAATTCTGCCTTCCCACAAGGAGGGGTGGAGTTAGAAAAGGTCGACCCCAAAAATGCACACCTCACCTTATCCCACGGATATCCGTCTCCGGCTGTAAGGTTTTTTTGAAGAACGGAGCTAACACAAAAACTACCCACAAAAATGTCGTGTGTGACCGACCACAAGCAGTTGTCTCTTGGGCACTGCGATCACGCTCTCAAGTTATTAAGACCACTTCTAACCCAATTTCCTTTTCAGGTATCTCTAGAAGAATCCTTCCACAGTGTGGGCAACCGGGAAGTGATAACTGCCCTCATACCTCTAACAGCACTCAAGACCACTGTACTTACTTACTTACTTACGCCTGTTACCCCTCGTCGAGGAGCATAGGCCGCTCACCAGCATTCTCCATCCAACTCTGTCCTGAGCCTTCCTTTCCAGTTCTTTCCAGTTGCTATTCATCCTTTTCATATCGGCTTCTATTTCCCGGCGTAGTGTGTTCTTTGGCCTTCCTCTTTTCCGCTTCCCTTCACCATTCCAAGTTAGGGATTGAGTCGTGATGCACATTGGTGATTTCCTTAATGTATGTCCGATCCACTTCCAACGTCTTTTCCTAATTTCCTCTTCAGCTGGAAGCTGGTTTGTCCTCTCCCATAAAACGCTGTTGCTGATAGTATCCGGCCAGTGGATGTTGAGTATTTTGCGTAGACAACTGTTTATAAATACTTGTACCTTCCTGATGATGGCCGTTGTAGTTCTCCACGTTTCAGCTCCATACAGTAGGACTGTCTTGACGTTCGTATTAAAGATTCTGACTTTGAAATTGGTTGAGAGTTGTTTTGAGTTCCATATGTTCTGCAATTGTAGAAATGCTGTCCTTGCTTTGCCAATCTTTGCCTTTACATCTGCATCCGATCCTCCTTGTTTATCAACGATGCTCCCCAGGTACGTGAATGTTTTCACCTCTTCCAGAGTTTCGCAATCAAGTGTGATTGGGTTGGTGTTCTCCGTGTTGCATTTGAGAATCTTGCTTTTTCCATTGTGAATGTGGAGGCCTATCGATGCGGAGGCTGCTGCTACATTTGCTGTCTTCATCTGCATTTGGTCGTGTGTGTGAGAGAGGAGGGCTAGGTCATCTGCGAAGTCCAAATCATCTAATTGATTCTGAGAAGTCCATTGTATTCCGTGCTTCCCCTCAGATGTCGAAGTCTTCATAATCCAGTCAATCACTAGAAGGAAGAGGAATGGGGAGAGTAGACAGCCTTGTCTGACTCCGGTCCTTACTGGAAATGCATCTGTCAGCTGTCCTCCATGCACCACTTTGCACTGTAGTCCATCGTATGAGTTTTGGATAATGTTGACAATCTTTTCAGGAACTCCATAGTGTCGAAGAAGTTTCCACAATGTTCTCCTATCCACGCTGTCAAACGCCTTCTCATAGTCGATGAAGTTGACGTATAGTGATGAGTTCCACTCAACTGATTGTTCAACGATGATCCGTAGTGTCGCAATCTGGTCTGTGCACGACCGATCCTTACGGAATCCAGCCTGATGATCCCTAAGTTCGGCGTCTACTGCGTCTTTCATCCGATTCAGCAGCACTCTGTTGAAAACTTTTCCTGGTACTGATAACAAACTGATACCTCCGTAAGCAGAGATGGATAGTGGCTAGCAGTGGAATCCAGGACGCGCGTTTCGTCCTATTTGGGACTCGTCAGCTGGATGTACCTGCATCTCAGAGTTGATGTTCACTCTTGGACTCGAACCCAGTACCCTCGCTTCAAACGCCATCGCGTTATCCACTCGGCCACTGAGTCCTGATAGCCACTTGCTTGTGCGATGAGGTGTTTGAAACGAGGGTACTGGGTTCGAGTCCAAGAGTGAACATCAACTCTGAGATGCAGGTACATCCAGCTGACGAGTCCCAAATAGGACGAAACGGGCGTCCTGGATTCCACTGCTAGCCACTATCCATCTCTGCTTACCATGCTTGTGAATTAAAGTATATCGAGGCAATACGCACAGTATGCACATATGCCAATTAGAGACTGACCAGTTGCAGTCCTAAACACATCGATGGGAAGATCCAAACAAACAATACTAAGTGAATTGATACCTCCGTAGTTCTCACATTGGCTCAGATCTCCTTTCTTTGGTATCTTGATGAGATATCCTTCTTTCCAGTCCGTTGGCACTTGTTCCTCTTCCCAAATTTTTTTGAATAGAAGGTGAAGCATGTTTTCATGTATTCATAATCAATCTCCTTCTTCAATTCCTACTATTCATTCTACCTTGACTTTCAACACTAAACTTCCTCTCTCGGTTTCCTCCTCAAGTGTCACCATGGCCAACGATTCTAGTGCACGAAACGCTGTCCCAGGTCTACTATAACTTCGCTCCAAACTACACATAGGAGCCTTCAACGTACGTACCCTATGCCAAATCGGTCAACAGGCCTCCTTAGCTACAACCCTAGAATCTCGTACCATTGATGTATGCTGTGTCTCCGAAACACGCATACAGGATCCTAGTGTGGTGATTCACTTGACCTCACCTCGCCAAAATGGACAGCCAACGAAATACACCCTCCGTGTATCTGGCGACCCGTTGGCTAGTTCTCGTGGACTTGCAAGTGTAGGTATAGCACTAAGTACAAGGGCAGAACAGGCACTATTAGAATGGATCCCCGTTAACAGTCGCCTGTGTGCTGTCCGGCTAAATGGCTCCGTAAGAACTCGGAAGGATAGGAACACACGTCGTTGCCTTTCCGTCGTTTCTGCCTACGCTCCCACTGACTGCAGCCATGATGAAATGAAAGATGAATTTTACAGAAAACTCTCTGAGCTTCTTCAGAAAGCTAAGCGCTCAGACATATTAGTCGTAGCGGGTGACTTTGATGCCCAGGTAGGCAGCTTTAATCAAACAGAAAGACATTTAGGTGGGTGTTTTAGTATTCCGGCTCAACGAACTGATAATGGTGATCGTCTGTTGCAACTATGCTCAGACAATCGTTTATTTCTAGCAAGCACTAATTTTAAGCATAAGGAGAGACATCGTCTAACATGGTGACCACCTGCACCAAACCAACGATGGACTCAAATAGACCATATTGTCATCAGTCATCGTTGGAGAGGCTCAATAGAAGATCGTCGCTCCTATTGGAATACTTGTTTAGACTCTGATCACGCTTTAATGCGAGCGCACATTTTTCTGCGCCTCAATGGACGCAGGAAAAGTACACTAAGAAG